CAGTGCAAGCTTCTCTTCTCAGGCTGATAGCAGGGATGGCGAGCGGTGATGATTTTTGGTGGGACAGATGCACAGGAGGAAAGTATTAAACCACTTGCCATAAGCTAGAGTTCGCCTCCTCCTGCAAGACACTATTCTTAAAGTGGGGAAAGAGCCACATGAAACCCATCCCTGCATTTCGCCTCTCCTCTGTTTTGGCTCTCAGATACAGTATTGCCTGAAGTCAGAAAGATAGACAGGTGCATTCTTTGCTCTGAGAGCTTCAATTGATAGCTAGGAAGAGGGGGAAAGGAGGGAGGCCTTTGCAAGCAGCTGAATGTCTATATTAATTATTAAGGGAATGATATGGCTGCATGGATATAAATATTTCACTCTTTCCAGTTCAGTGCCTTTCTGACAGGGCAGCGATGATCTAAAGGAAGAAGTGAGGCCTTTTAACATTATTACCATCATCATTATAGTATTACATTTATATTCCATCTCTTCTCCAACGAGCTTGAGGTGGGGTGCACACTTCTCTCCTCCTCCATTTTATCCTCACAACAACCCTGTGAAGTAGGTTAGGCTGAGAGATAGTGACTGGCCCAAGGTCACTCACAGGCATTCATGGTTGAGTGGGGATTTGAACCCTGTTCTCCCATGTCCTAGTTGGATACTCTAACCACTGTACTGCACTGGCTCTCAAAGTGGTCTCTTCAGTTCACTGGTCTGTTTTACAGTGAAAACACCAGGATAACAAGCTCCAGGAAGGAGGAGCTGCTCCATTGAATCATGGAGGCAGAAAGTTCCACCTGCCTGCATTGTATCCAGAGGGCAGGACACCTGCTCCTCAGTTCCCTGGTCAGCCCTCAGAGCAAGTTCCCATTGGAGCTTGCCAGGCAGAGAGATGGCTCAAGAAGGGTGTCAGGCTACACCCATGAGGGAAAGCAGAGCCAATATCACATACCTAGAACTAAAATGATTTAGATTATGTAGAATAATAATAATAATAATAATAATAATAATGTCTTAATATCTGTTTAGCTAGTTGGGACACTGCTTTATACATATTAATGTTATTGTTATTAATTTATTTTTTAATTCCTAAAATTTATACACTTGATAGTAAAATCTTTTTTACTTTATGGTAAAAAAACCCAAAGCATTTTACAAAAAGTTTTTTTAAAAAATGAATAAAAAAAATGAAAGACCACTCTTTTTTCTCCCCTGGAAAGATTAAAAATCCAGAAGTAAACAATTGAAAATTTGCTATCCGGGAACTAAACTGGTCTTTGTTAATTTTTCCCAAACACATTTCCTCTTATAATCCAAAACGAGTTAGGGAACATTTTCTTTAAACATGCTGAAAGTTCAGCCAAGTGTCCATGAGTTATTGCGGACCTGCTCTGACTGTGCTTATGTAAGTCGGCAATGGGAGAAGTCTATGGGAGTCCACACTGTTGCATTGGAAACATGAAGAAGGATTAGCCATAGTGCTGCCTGCTGTAGTACTCGTTTTACTTCACTATGCTCCACTGTATATATTTTTCCATAAAATAAATATTACAAAGACATGGGAGTGTTTAACTAAGTCTATTCAGAGCAGCCCCATTGAAATTAAGGAACCTAAGCTACTGATGTCTATTAACTTCAGCTGGTCTACTCTGAGTAGAAATAGCATTGTATACCATCTCTTAAGTCTCCTATGTCCTCCCATCCAAAGGAAATGAAAGCCTTTAGTGCTGCCCTGGAATTCTCGCTGCTCGGATAAGTGGGGAAGCACTTAACAATGCATTTTTGCTCATCTTTTATTAGCAAAGACATTCACTCTTTGAGAAAAGCATGTGGATTTGGGTCACTATCTGGTAAGGTTTGGTTTCACGAAACAAAACTTATTTTAGACAGCCTGGGGCAAACACAGTTTTGCTCTAAAAGGTTGCTTGACAGCTCCAGAATGGTTTCTATCATGCTAGGTGGGAGCTGAGTCTGAGAATACACTCTGCCATCCAACTTTTTGTTTTATTATATATTTTGTGCTTTCATTTTGTTGCATGGTGTAATCTCAAAGCTGTGAACATGTACATTCTTTAGTGACAGGGTTGGCCACAACAACTATGGGCTCAAGAGGTAGACCAAAGAGCAGCTGTAACCATTGTTATGTGTTGTGCCATATTTGTACCAATTTCCCAAAAATTTCAGTGCAAAACAGGATGGCAGGTCAAATGCACAATGTACAAATGATACAGACAAGGCCAAAGTTATATGTGGCTAGCTGTGATAGACAGTATATCCTGAAACATTCATCAGATAATGCTTTCATGTATAACCTGTTCAGCATAAGTGAAGCTGGTATAATTACCACTGCAACACCCAAAAGCGTTTCCATACATTGATCTCAGTAGGAGCAGTTGACCTAGGAGGCATTTTGACCTTGGCAACATTACTTCCAGAGCTGACCAGTGACATAAAGACCAGCGGCCTGACATGCAGGGGTAATGGCACTCCTGCGTTTAGCCCACAGTTCATATTGTGATCCAGGAAGCTTGATCTGACTAAACAGGGTGCACAAAGACAATGTTCTTGCTCTTGTAACTCTAAAATGCTTACTGTGAACTCTGTCAGTGACCTACTATGTAATATCATTTCCTGGGAGCAGATTGCATATCCCTTGTGCCACACAGAAATGCTCCAGACTGGAGAACCTGAAACCGTGTTTGTAAACCATCACCTTAACAACATTTGCAAATACGAAGGAGTGGAAAGCCAATACACTGGAGCAAGAACCTTAAGCCTGGTGAAATATTCAAGTTAAGCCACAAGGACCTAGGTTAGAATAATCATTCCTGGGACTCAAAAGTGTTATTTTATCCCCCGTTACAACTGTTGTTGTTGCTGCTGCTACTACTAATCTTAATAATGCAGTCAATGAACATTGCAAGAGTAGAGCATCTTTTGCATGCAAAAAGTCCCAGGTTTAATCCCTGGTATCTTCATGTAGGGCTGACAGAGACCCCTGTCTGAAAGCCTAGCGAGCTGCTGCCAGTCAGTGTAGACTATACTGAGCTAGATGAGTGACACCCAAGTCCCCACCTCTCTCTTTCTCTCTCCCGAGACACAAAAACATTGTTGGCTCCTATGTTTTCCCAAAAGTTGAAAATGTTATCCTTGATGTTGCTAGACTAAAATCTTCTCACCTTAATCTCTTTACTTTTTCATTCGAACACCGTTTTTTAAATCACTGTGCTCAGTGTGAGATTTTTACCATGGAATTAATAGTATGCTGCTAATGCTACTCTAGTCAGATAAGGAAGAGGTCAATTTGCTTGTCTGCTACTGAACCAAAACCACAAATGAAGTGTGGTAGTGTTGAGAAGTGCCTGGCGTGCTCTGGTCCATGGGGTCACAAAGAGTCAGACACGACTAAACAATTAAACAACAACAAGTGTTGAGAAGTTATTCGTTCCTTCTGCCAAGATTGTCTAGGCGTGCATGCACTTTCTGTCTCTGTCTCTGTCTCTCTCTCTCACACACACACAGCCATAAAGTACATTCATTGTCTTCTGCAGATGTTTTTTTTTTGGTCAGTGTACAGACATTGTTGTCTTTATATTGTTGGTAAATTATTTGGTGTTCTGAAAGCACCTTTTGGTAGAATGGTTATAAGCCATATTACATTTTTACAACACAATCTGAAGCCCCCATTGCCTTGTGTGAAAACTGAGAACACCTTCTCAGGGACCCTCCTATTGTGGAGAGTACTATGATGTTGTTGGGGTGCGTATGTGTAGCCCCTCCTCCCCATTGCTTTGGAGATTAGCCTGAGTCATTTGGCAGGGGTGGACTTTGGTAATCTTTCATAATATGGTGCCCTGTGCAAGATCAAAATTTGGTACACCAAAATGGATCTTCTCTATTATGGATCTTCTCAGGCCTCAGACAAGCTCTGCACAGGCCTGTGAATTCCTGAATACTGCATTACAGTATAGAGAAGATCAGTTCAACCTCCTCTCTGTAGCAAAATGACAGTAGAAGAAGAAGAGTTTGGATTTGATATCCCACCTTTCACTCCCTTTAAGGAGCCTCAAAGCGGCTAACAATCTCCTTTTCCCTTCCTCCCCCACAACAAACACTCTGTGAGGTAAGTGGGGCTGAGAGACTTCAAAGAAGTATGACTGGCCCAAGGTCACCCAGCAGCTGCATGTGGAGGAGCGGAGACGCAAACCCAGTTCCCCAGATTACGAGACTACCGCTCTTAACCACTACACCACACTGGCTCTCAAGGAAATTTCAGTTGTGGTACTTCTTTGTTTCTCTTTATGCTCCACAGGCTCCAAGTGTCTCTGAAAGGATCTGACAGCCTTATTAGAGGATCTGATGGCCTCAATACACTATCCAAAACCCACAATCTACCTTTATAGGACCCTATTGGGTAGTGGGAAATTTGATGTGAAAGCCTCTAGAGAGGACTAGAACAGAGAGTTTGACTGGCCATTACACTTGAGACAATGGCAAACTGTGTTGGCCTCCAGAAGGTTTTGCTCACAGGCTGCTCCTAATCCAGCAAAAACTTGTATTTCTGGCATATTGGACTCATCATCACCTTTGTCAGAAATGTCTTTCACCTATAGATACCTTCTAGTGCTGCAGTACACCAGGGGCAGCATTGAGGTAGGTTGTGGGAGGGGGAATTAGTTTGCATCCTCACCAGTACAATGTATTTTATTTTATTTTATTTTGTTCTTTTCTTTTAGCCACTGCCAAAACTGGCGAGGTCACCCTTGTAGCACACTATGCTGGATTGGTGTGGAGAGCAGGGAAATCACAGTGTCTTTGCAGGCTTGCTGTGGCCCAACTTCCCCAATCAATACTGGTGTCCTTGTCGGAGCAAGAACAACAAATAACAGTTCAAAAAGAAATTAGAAACCCCAGCTAGTCCAATGTTGCTTTAAGGCGCTTCTAGTCTTCCTCCTCTCACTCCCTGGGGCTAATGGCTAAGGCTTGCCTGCCAGCCAGCAGTTGCCATGGCGCTGGAAGGCCTGCAGCCTTCTGTGTATGCGCCCTGCCAGAGGGAAGGCCCTGTTGCTATGGGAACCAGAGTAACAGCCACAGGCCGGCAGGGAGAAAGAAGGCCTAGAAGTTGTGGAGCTGCTCTGGAGGCAGCAGCAGCAGTCGTAGCAGCAGTAGCAGGAGGACCAGGCAAGTAAGTGCTCAGCCAGCCTTTGTCTGCTCTCTTGGTCTGGAATGGCTGAGGATGGGCTGCTGGGCCCTGGGGCACCTGCTCAACGTCCTTGCAGACCTCCTTGCTCATGTCCTTGCTTGGACTGGTACCTGGCATTTGCACTCAAGGAACTTGTGGTGTGGGGAGAGGGTTGATTAGGCCCAGCCTTTGAATGCATGCATGGGGCAGGGACGAAAAGCCTCAGTGTTACAGGGAAGGGCCACAGTGAGGGGTGGCCTACTGGGCTCTAGGAAGTAGCGATGGAGGAGGCAGCTGCCTCGGAAAGATGGGGTAGCATCACGAGAGGGTGTGCTTTGCATGCAGTAGATCCCACGTCCCCACAGCATCTGCAGGTAGGGCTAGCAATGGCCCCTGCCTGAAACCCTGCAGAGTAAGTAGAGATTGCAGAGCTAGATAGACCCAACGGTTTGACTTGGTATAAGGCAGCTTCCTATGTTCTTATGAGAAACCAATTGCTCACTAAGGTGCTAGCACGCTTTTGAATCCAGACAGGTTGTTATAGGGAGTTATTCTGGATTTGAAAGTACAAGGCTATAAGCTATTATTTATTAAGAATACCTGTAGACTGCTCTTTAGCCTCACACAGTGTGTAGTTGAACTATGGAACTCCCTTCCACAGGAGGCAGTGATGGCCACCAATTTGGATGGCTTAAGAATCATAGAATCGTAGAATTTAGAGTTGGAAGGGGCTCAAGGGTCATCTAGTCCAACCCCCTGCAATGCCGGAAACTTGCCCAACATGGGACTCAACATGGGGCTATGAATGGCTACTAGCTATGATGGTTATGCTCTGCCTCCATAGTCAGAGGCATTAATGCTTCTGAAGCCCAGTTGCTGGAAACCACAGATGGGGAAAGGACTCTTGTGCTCAGGTCCTACTTGCAAGCTTCACAGGCAACTGTGAGAACAGAATGCTGGACTGGATGGACCATTAGCTCATCCAGTTCTTATGTATATGTTACAAGAGACTTTCAAAGCAGCTTACAGAAGTTTCCCAGAATAAATCATATTCAGGTTTAATATCAGGAGCAAAAATTACATGGTGTCCCTCTGGTGCTAAGTGTTCTGCCTGCCTCCTCCTCTCTGCTGCACTTTTGCTCCTTATCTATTGTGCAACAGCCCTGAGGCACGCAAGGGAGCAGGGCTGTGTAGCTGGATCTCACTCAGGCCATGAAGGAGGCAGGTCTTCTTATAGCTTCTTAAGTGCCTCTAGGTTGGAGTTCATTTATCTCCACCCTACCTCCCTGTGTCTCATTGCTGAGCCTTCTACCATATAAAGAGGCTGGGGACAGAGGAGATGTAAGCACTGATACCTTCATGTTGAAAGATTTGAAATGGAAGCAGAACATGAAAGGAGAGATCTGTTGGAGCTGGGATGCACATTTCAGGGTCACACGCAGTTGAACATCTGTATTATTGCATATAGCAGGAGGCAAAGGTGCTACAGTGGAATATTGCTACCAATGCCTTTTTGAAATGCCATCTGCTATGCTTTCAAGTTCCTATAGAGCCCTCAGATAGATCACAGTGTTTCAGTTCTTACTGACAGGAAAGAGAAAGTGTCAAAAGCAGGCAGGTAAGAAGCTTGCTGTTTGCCTTTTAAATTGTCAGCTGCCATAGATAACCATATGCCTTCCTCCCAAATGAGCCTACTCACTAAAAATAGCATTTCTTTTCCTATGTATTTTTTATTATGTAGTTATATCCCATCCTTCCTGAAATGAGCTTAGAGCGGCCTACACAGTTCTCTACTCCCTCCTCCCTGCCCTTACAACAACCCTATCAGGTTGGTTAAGCTGAAAGATGATGATTGGCCCAAGGTCACTTAGTGAGCTTCATAGCTTAAGGGGGATGTGAACTCAGGACTTCCCAGTCCTGCTCTGAATTCACTTGCAACCATGCCAACTTCAACTGGATTCTTCTCCAGGGCTCCATTTACCGGTAGTTGTCTTTAAAGGGGCCTCCCCACACTGTAACTTGCAAGTGTGCTTTGGAATCTGTGCTTCCAGAAATATAATATTTAAGATTATGCAGTGAATAATAAGCAATTTTTTACATAGTGTAAAATATTTCCAGTCTGTGTTTGATAATTTGTAGGGCGGGAAATATGAAGACAGGACAGTAGATTCTTATATATTGGCCATTGAGATGAAATTGGTTACATTATCTGTACAAGGGCAGCAAATAACTTATGGAAGCCAGTTTTTCGTAGCAGATTACTGTACAGATACTTCCAGGCGGAATATTTCTCAGGAGTTTGGCATGTTGATTCAGTGCACCAATAGTAATGATGATGAGTGAGCTTCCCCAGCTTGCCTTGGATTGCTCCCCCCCCCCCAGCTTTCTAGGAGAAAGCTTAAAAAAAACAGAGATCACTCCGTTTCAAGCCTGCCCGCTCCCTGTTCCAACAAGCATCTTTTTGAACAACCTTGAGGATGTACTTAGTTCCTGCTTGGGTGCAGTGAACTTGTTTTCTAGGCTTTTTGGTTTATTCATTGAATTGGGAGGCCTAGAAAACTGTAACTCCTATGAATTGTGGCAGGAAATTACAGTCCAGCTAAGGAGAGGTCCACAAGACCTTTCCAGTAAGCCTTCCTTGCCATTAAGAGCTCAGTTAAGAGCCCATGATCCCTTTCAAGTAAGATGCTCCTACATTCAGATAGAAACTTGCAAGGGTGGTGCATTGTCTGCTGCATCTTCAAACAACCAGGTTCTGTTCTGATCCAAATAAACAGTCCTGGCCATTAGCAGATAGCAAGGTGGGACTGGGCGGGTCATCTGACCTCCCTCCAATGAAGTTGCCACTGCATACCAGGATGAAGAGGGAGATGGGAGCAGTGACGACAAGGTCAGTGTGATGCTAATGTGCTGGTAGAACCGTTCTGACACTCCTACTAGCACATTTGCACAGCACCAACCTTGTGGTCTCCCCTCTCTATCTCAGTGTGCAGCAGCGACTCAGCTGGAGTGAGAGATGCAGCCACACCGTGTCATCTGCTAATTGGAAAGGGGGGCTCAAGGCACCCGTTACACATCACACAAAAAAGGGAGTGATAACTGGGTAATGGAAGGCTGACAATTCTCTTGTTATTGGAATACAGACAAACAAAAATCCATGTAAATGAGAATATCAGATCTTGAGACTGCTTCTCTACTAATTTTCACTTTGAGTTTCATATTGATATATTTTTGAAGGGAAATAATTGGCAGCCATTCTCAGTTCAGTGATAGTCAGGACTGAAACTCAAGCAGAATTGTGAATTCCTGGAGACTTTTTTCTCACTGTTTAAACCAAGTTTGTTGTTGTTCTTATTCCAGAGGTTCTGACAGATTAATCAAAGATGCTAACAGACCGAGTCCAGAAATCCTTGGGTCCCCACAAGTTCTCAGAAGAATTTCAAAGCAAGGTGGTGGTACCTCACATCCCAAAACTGGTCAAAGAAGAAAAGAAGCATGCCCCAGTATGTTTGCTTGCGCTCAGCTGATCTAATACCTGGCCAAGTCATTGAATCTGCCTTTGTGATAATGACTCCTGAACACCTTTTATTTTGTCATGCCTTAGAGCTTATCCACATTTACCTTTCCTCCATGCTTTCCAGGCATGGTGAACACTTTAAAGCACCGTGTTCAGACACCCCCCTTTTTCTCTCTGGAGCTTTCCCCTCAAAAAACTGCTCTTTAAAGCTGAATTGGAGCAAATGGCAATCCGTGGAAAATCCACATTGCCATTTGTTGTGCTTCGGCTTTTAAGACTGGGCTCTTGCACAGAAAGCTCAGGGGGTGGGGAAGTCCTTGAACATTGAGCTTTAAAGTGCGCAACATGCTCGGAAAAAGCAGGACAAAAAGTAAGTCTGAATAAACCCTTAATGTGAGACAGTAAGCAAAAGACAGTGCATTTTAAATACAATGTCCATTTTAGATCAGGATGGACAGAAAGTAGATGAGCATCTTCTGGGTGAGTTTGCAGTAGACTGGCAAGGAGGGCTTCTAACTTCCAGCTGTTTAGTGCTAGGAGAGAAAAAAATGTCTCTTCCTGCCCTGCCCCCCAAATTAGACTGATTGCAGAAATAGTCTGAGGTGACCAGGAGTGCATTTCTGTGCATAACAACTATGGGCTCAGTTTACTTCTAGTGTTCAAAATTAATTCCTGGGCTCAAAATTGTTTCTTTCTAAGACTATGACTTTTGCACCAGGCTGGTAGATCTCAGGGTTCTAGTAGAATAAGAACAGCAGATCCTGCAATCTGGACATCTGTCCACTCCTGTTTTTGGTGATGTTTAGGCTTTATGTTCTAAAAATAGAAAAACCTGTCACTGATTAAAATACCCCTTAGTGTGTACTGAAGACCAGAAGGAGACTCATTGAGGCGGAGAGAGACAATGATTCACCAGTATATGATGGATTGTGTGTGTGTGTTGTTAAGTCTATAAGTTTGAGGAAGAGAGCTTCCGCTGGTTCCCTTTGCTTGTTCTTTTGCTCCCTACATAGGAGCAAGAAGACAAGGTTATCAACACTTGTCAAAACCACTTGTAGTAAAGAGGCATGGCAGAAGTCAATAGGAAGGGAGTTCCGCAGTTTTGGGGTAATCACTGAGACAAAGATGCACACAGTTTGATAAATTATTATTATATAATTGCTGTCCCACTTTCCTTATTAGTTTGTGAGACACAAAGTGGAAAACGAGCTTATGCTTTTCAAATATTCCCACCCTGTCTCTGGCTGCAACTCTTAGCCAGTTTATTTGTCATTCTGTACATGAGCCCAAGTCTTTTATTGTGCCCCTCGCCCTTTAAGCATCTAGAGAAATTAGCCCTATCAAAATCCCACAATCTCTCTCTAAAATAGCAATGGAATTTAATTACTTTGTGCCTTAACTGCTGACTTTGTTCAGCACAAGAGAGAAACCATGCAGACATCTGAAAATCTTGCAAGCAGGTGCCATTTCCAGCAAGAGTTCCTTTAAGATAGGTTGAATGGAAGTCCTGCATCCTGAATTTTAAATGTTTCAGCAGGAAAATTAATGGAGGTCTAGGATTCAGCAGTGAACACATATTAATCAGAAGTGCTTAACAAGTAAAGCCTTTCTTAACTCAGGCATTTATGTGGTCTTTGTTTTCAACTGCAGTTGACTCCATCTGCCTTCCTGAAAGCAATGACTCTGACGACGGAGCAGATGCTGGCAAACACCCATGAAGTGCGCCGGCCTCGAATTGTGCAGCTTCTGGACATGAGCGAAACCTCACACCAGAAGGTATCTCTTCCACATTCACCCCTATTTATTTGTGACATAACACATTAACATAATTATATACTTGCTGGCTGATGGGAGTTGCAGGCCCAAACATCTGGGGGCACCAAGTTGAGGAATGCTGATCTAGTTGTTCAGCCTGTAGATTTGCAGTCCCAAGAGGGTTCTAGTGCCATCATCCAAAAATGTCTGACCAAAGTTTGCTATGGATGTCCAGTGCCTTTGTTATCTATTTTTAACGCTATATGTTAAAAACTGGTAGTCCACACATTCTTGTACGTTTGATTTAATCTCAGTTGTGCTTGCTCCTTCCAAATAATTGCCACAACCTTCCTATTCACTACCATCAACAAGACTGGTAGTTCTTTTTTCTCATGTCTCTGACATGATGCTGAAAGAGACCCATGGAATGCCTTTATGTGCTTTCATTAAGAGAGGCAGCCACAACAAACTATGCTTGTTGTGGCCTAGGATAAATATTATGGGCTAGTTTCTTAAACTACTGTCCAATGTATATCTCCAATTACTGTTTATTTAAGGTAATTATTATCATTTACTCCCATAAGTCCTAGAGCTGAATCATGAAAGTGTGCAATCCTATGTACACTTTCCTCTGAAGGCAGCCCTATTTAGGGAAGTTTTTAATGTTTGAAGTTTTATTCTGCTTTTGGTGTTCTGTTGGGAGCTGCCCAGAGCTGCTGGGGAAACCCAGCCAGCTGGGCAGGGTATAAATATTATTATTATTATTATTATTATTATTATTACTATTATTATTATTATTATTATTATAGTATTGAACACAGGGTGACTTGCTGCTGAGTGAACATGTGTGGGCTTTGGTTCTGAAGTTGGTAATTTGCCAGCAGCAGCAGACTGATGATATGTTGCCTGGTTAAACAGCCTGGAAGAGACGAACCTATGAAGGCTAAGCAGGAGATAGTGGTACACAACGGCACTGAGGCATAACCAGAGAAAACAGGACTAACTAACCCATGTAATAGGTCTGTTGGAATACTACTAGAATGGCATGCTACACTTTCCTGAATGCCTGAAGTTGTACCTTTCCTTTGGAGCAGGATGGCTCCACTCTGAGTGGCACTGGCCTGTCCTGCTTCCCAGTCCTGCAACTGCCAGGCAGCATTTACATGCATCCCTTTGTGTCTTCTTCAGTTCTCTTCTGTTGATCTGGACCAGTCTCTGTTTCAACCATTCCCGTCAGAAGTGATTTTCCAGAATTATGCCCCTTGTGAGATGTATGAAGTGCCACTAATTCTGAGGAACAATGACAAGGTATGACATGTCAGTGAAACTGTAAAGTAGTTTTGAGGTGGGATGCAGTGAGAGAAAGCACGATGGCTGGAGCATTCTTTCTCTTCTTCCCAGTGAAATAACTCTCCTGGCAAACGTTTCAGTGCCTATGTCCCATTTTAACTTCCTCTTTAGCCATTGTTGTTTGCTATCTAGTTGATCTAAGGACTGAGAGGATGGCCTGGTGAGGCTTTACTGAGGTTTCAATAAAAGTGGTGGCCATTTTGATACCAAAAAAGGTTGCAATGTCATTTATTGTTTCCTATGCCCCTACCATGGTTACTCCAGGCTTACTGCAACTGGGCTCACAATTCACATATCTGTGATCTATGGGTCTTAACAAGAACCAAAGTAAACAAACTGTCGGTGGAAATGATATATTTATCTACAGAGCTGCTTTTTCTTTAAATGCGAAGGATTTAAAGGCAGGATACACCTGTATTTTTGATTGCACATTTTATTAAATGTTGTGAAGTTAAATGATGTAAGTCCTTTCCAAAAGGGCAACCAGATTCCTTAGTGAAGATTTGTTTTTTTGTGCTCCCTCCGAATGTCATAATCTTTTCAGATCTCATTCTCACAAATATATACTGTACAAGGCTTGCTTGATCTTTCTTATTGATTATGACCATTCTGAGATGGCATAGTCATGAAACTGAAGTCTGCTCAGTGCCTGGGATTTCTAGGAATGCTGCTGTGAGTTCCACCACAGAAGGAAGGATACAGATGCGATAAATAAATGGAGCTTGTTGAACACTGAAAGTAGAGTAGCCCACAGCTTCTCAACTGGCCATTTTTTCCCTTCATGGCTCAAAGGCTCCTTCATGGCTCCTTCAGGACTGTGTTTTCACCAAAAGTCCTGTGCTGCTGCCTGCAGCCTGTGTACTCTTTGCTTAACTGAGCAGTCATGATCAGATTACATGCACACTGCATCCCTTATGCTTTGTCCATCAAGTAATAGATTGCCTCCAACTGTCAGAAATGGCTTCCCTGCCCCTCAGCTGCCAGCATCCATTTAGCTAGTTTCCTTCCAGCACTTGGCTTTAAGCTGCTGTTGAAAGGAACAGCTGGCCCTTTAGTGGTTGTTTGTGCAGAGTTTGCCCCAAATTAGCAAAAGTATGACTTACATATTTGTTCTAGTGTTCAATCAGTGTTAAATTTGCTGTCATTTCTAACTTTGCTAAGGAAAGGAATAATGTATTGAATAATTTGGCATTTAAATATAATGTCATGTAGCATGTTTATGGACTGGTTGAAAAACACATCCACCCATTCTGAAATAAACGCTTTGCCTCTGTTCTGAAATTGTTCCCAAATGTGAGCTGGTGGGGCCTTTCACCTAGTCCTGGGAGGGCACTTCAGTGTCAGTCTTTGCTTTCCTGGAAGCTGCTTTCTTGAAGTAAGGTTTTCAAGCTGTGCTGTGTCAATGAAAGGAGGAAAAACCTGATAGGCCAAAAACATTTACATCTAATTTAGAATATGGGGTTGTATCAGTTGTTGTCTTGTCGGTGGCTGCTGACTGTCTTTCCCCCTTAGTGCCGCCATAATTATGCTTTTCTTTCTTCCAATCCTGCATGGAGAATGTGGGACACCACCACGCTGAGAGCTTCCTCCTGCCATTGGTCCATGTCATGGGCAGGACCCAATGAATTCCCCATTTTCTTTGGGCTGAGAATGGAGCCAGTTTTAATTAAACAAATGCTGCTTAGAGGAGCATTACACTGCACAGATAACGCATATCCACACTGTACGCCTTCTTCGGTTGCCTGTCTCTCTACCCCCAAACTTCTAAATTTGGCAACTTGTGGAATTCCATGTGGGGCAGTGTAGTGCTTGTCCATGATTGGCTTTGACAGTTTACCAGCTCCACCCCACCTGACCCTGACTTTCTTTGCTGCATCTCTCTTGGCCCACAAAAATAGTTTACAGGAAACTGGAAAGGTCTGGGGGGTGGGGTGGGGGAACACTTGCTAAAAGAGGAATCCAGTGGGAATTGTCACCAGGAAAGTTACATTGATGGAGATGAAGCAGAAAACATACTAAAGGAGAATATTGAAGGTCTGAATGTTTTCCTTGATACTTTGCAATAAATGTGCTAGGAATGAACAGAAGGGCAGCATGAACAAACAAGGAAGTGTGAAAAGTAATCAAAGCCCTACAGTTTTGTGATTAAATACTGCAGGAAGATGGTGAAAAGTTTAGAAATGCAGCAGCATAATAGCAATGCAAACATGTGCAGCCCCAAATATAAGGAAATATGATTTGGAGACAAATGAATACTTTACTGGGAGAATAGCTAATAGGGAGATCACTGATGCAGAAGCCCAAAGTGGATGCAATGTGGTTTTGCTAATACATCTTGGGTAATTTTATTATGACAGGGTTTTTATCTGCAGCCTCAACTAAAGAGCACAGTGTCTATGTCCAGAGGGCACAACACTGAATGTTAGTAATAGAAGAATATTGGAAATAAGACTAAGAGAGATGATGTTTTTTCACAATACCAAAGAGCCTAGGGGAGATAATTTTGCAAGTTTCTTTCATCCACACCTCAGTTCAGGTGATATATTTGGGTGTGAATTTATTTAGCCCTATTGGTTTCAGTAGGATGAAATCATTCTAAAGCCAAGTTGTGGTGAATCAGGCTGCAGTGTAATTAAATCTTATTAATGCTTGCAAACAGACAAGTGTTAAAAATAAATACACACACTTCCCACCGCTACATATAAGGTTGAATACAAATGGCGGTCCTTCCTTTCCCATCTGGCTCTGGTGTTTTTCCTGGCTTTTTGGAGACTGCTGCTGCTGGTATTTGGGTTAGGATTAGAGATATCTGAGCCTTTTACCGTGATGTTTGTGCATATACTAGTCATTGTCCTCCTTACTGCTCCATTGCAGCAGGCCTTTGACAAGGGTGGTGCTGTGAGCTCCTCTTGATTGCATGGTTGTGAACTGTGTGTGGAAGGGACCCAATGGGTCATCTGGCCCAACTCCTGTAGTGCAGGAATCACGGTAAAGAATCCCTGACAGATGGCTATCCAACCTCTGCTCTTACTGTCAGAAAGTTCTTCCAGCTGTTTCGTCAGAATCTCCTTTATTGTAACTCAAATCCATTGGTTTGAGTCCTACCCTCCTGAGCAGGAGAAAACAAGCTTGCTCCATGTTCCATGTGGCAGCCATTTAGGTATATGAAGATGGCTATTATATCACCTCTCAGTGTTCTCCACACTAAAGATACCAAACTCTCTTAATTGTTCCTCATAAGGCTTGGTTTCAAGACTCTTTATCATCTTGGTCACCCTCCTCTGCACACGTTCCAATTTATCAATATCTTTCTAAAACTGTGGTGCCCACAAGTGGACACAGCACTCCAAGGCAGACTAGAGCAGTACTAATACTTCCCTTACTGATGTCATTGTGGTTTTGCTGCCATTGCTGCACATTTGTTGGTACCATGTATGCTGTCAGAGACTGGCTGGATAAGGAAGATTGGTGGGAGTCACCTGTCCAATAGCCCCCCCCCCCCCGGGAGGGCACAGAAAATGACAACTTAGATACTGGATCCTGGTGGTGGGACACTGAAGAGCAGTCTACAGAAGGGACAAGCTGGGAGGTGCTAGAGGCAAGGGGGTTGAGT